CGTTTGTTACATAACGAGTTGCGAAACGCATCTGAATATATTCATTAGTTCATTAGTTTTCGAGTAATTAACAAAAAAAAACGTTTCTTTTCTTCTATCAAACAGCGATTTCAACAAAACCCCATTGGCAATTCGACTCATTTCACTAAAAAATAGACAGCTCTATGGCAGCACCAGGAAAGGTGAGATTTTCAGCTTTAATTTGAGTGGTCAATGATGTAATTCTATTGAGGGGCTGTTGAGTAATTTCACTACAATTTAGAAATTCCATTGGAGAGGTGAGACATTTCGTGTAGTTGACTAATTAAGTTATTAGATTCAGGCGACATAATTAAATAGAGATTATTAAATAATAAAAAACAGAAACAAGAAAAATCCTCGGTATCACCTGAATTTCTATTGTAATGTGTGCGTTAATTAAACGTGTAATTTGAATTATAAAGAAAGACGTTTGCTGCACGTTGAAAGCAAAGTTAATGAAGGTCGATTCGTCTGTTGCGGAGTTTTCGGTTACACACATCCTTTTCGTTCTCGCTGCTCGAGAGTAACGCAACGCTGAAGAAGCAGAAGAAGAAGCAGACAAATAACGTTATCCGAGATCGCAGAATGTGGTATATTCGCGGCGGTCCATTAATTACGAGAAAATCTTGAGGACGATGCGACGTGGCCATCAACATCATCCGGGCGGCGGTTCGGACTCATCAAAGATGCATGAAACGCGGAATGGATGTGAATAAATGAGATCGAGGCCTGGCAAATCGAGTAAACTGTATTATATATATATATAAATAAATAGGGAGTTTGGATGGATGTTGTGTGTGCGTTTTGTTTCCATCACTATCCGAGTGTGTGGTGAAATATTCAGCCGGTAATTCGTCACGTTCAGGATATGTTCGGTGTCGTAAAACGAGGTGGATGCGGATGTTGCGGGGGTGGTTCTGGCAGAATCGTCCGCAGACATGCAAGACTATCTCTGATGTTCATACACTGTTTGCTACAGCTTCTCTTTCTCTCACACACACACACACTTTCTTCTCTTTGCGTTTCTATTGCACGCGCAAATACACTCGCCCGCTCCTTCTTGATGATGTCTATTCGTCCTGGACACACCGGGGATTTGCAGGAACGGCGCTTTATCAAAGAGCAAGTGGAGGACCGCAAGACAACTTTTTTTTTTATTATCCTTTATAGATAAGACAGGATCCGCGACAATCGCATTATTTAAAACAAAAAATGAGTTAGTTAAATCTATAGCAATGTATAATACTGACTAAATCAGTGGTTTCCAAACTTGATGTTACTACTCAAAAGTATGTAATCATTTGGCGCCTCCCCAACCCCTTTAGTTGTCGAACTCCATTATTCAACTTTGAACACGAATTACAGCTAAACGGCTAAAACCACACTAAAATATCGATATATGCTAGATTCCCCAAACATTCAGCTTTCATATGCATCTATTGGATTGATTCTATGTATTATAGTTTTCGAGAAAATCAATGAAATGTGAAAAGACTACTTTTTCGAGCATTTTTTCAAATTTGAACACAAATTACAGCAAAACGGCTAAAACCACAGTAATATATCGATACTTTCTAGATTCCCCAAACACTCAGCTTTCATAAGCATCTATTGGCTTCATTCTATCTATTATAGTTTTTGAGAAAAGCAATAAAATGTGAAAAGACTACTTATTCGAGCATTTTTTCAATTTTGAACACGAATTACAGCCAAACGACTAAAACCACAGCAATATATCAATACATGCTAGATTCCCCAAACACTCAGCTTTCATATGCATTTTTTGGATTCATTCTATGTATTATAGTTTTCGAGAAAATCAATGAAATGTGAAAAGACTACTTATTCGAGCATTTTTTCAATTTTGAACACGAATTACAGCCAAACGGCTAAAACCACAGTAATATATCGATACTTGCTAGATTCCCCAAACATTCAGCTTTCATATGCATCTTTTGGATTCATTCTATCTATTATAGTTTTCGAGAAAATCAATAAAATATGAAGACACAAGTTGTTAATTTGTATTTTATAAAAATTGCAAAATAGTTGAATTTGAATGGTGGTTGTTGGGTTGCATACGTTTGAAAAAAAAATTAGTTCTGATGATCTGCACAAAAGATCTACTGTTTACATTTGTGTGATGTCCAACGGACGGTTGTTCAAAATACCATTCAGCTTCTACTTCCCAATAGAAATTGCCCTGTTCTTGGAATATGTTCGGTGAGAAGGCCGTGGAATTAGTGAAGGAAGTCAACAGGAACAAGGATTCCTTGAGCCCGTACAATGTATGTTTAAATGTGTGCAGTGCAAAAATCTTATAAATCTAACCTCATAGTTTCTTTGTTTTCCAGACAGATCTGATCGAGCAAGTCAACAAGGAGATATGTGGTCTCATCGAACAGAATATGGAGGATGCGTGAGTTGCCATGGAAATAATTTGATTGTTTCTATTGACTTTTGTTTTTTTTTTTATGGTAGCAATGCAAGTATAGCAGGATCTTCGAATACGGCTGCATACATACCGACTGTGAATGTCAGGCATCTGTCAGTGCAGAGGAACTTGAGGTGTTTGCTGTCGTACCATCACAATCGGGTGAGATGCTTGAGGAACATGAGATGGGAGTTCGGGAGTCTGCTTCCACCAGAGATCAAATCGAATCTGAGCTCTTCGGAGGCTGCATGGTTCAGCAGCTATTCGACTTCACTTGCAAAGTATATGAGATCGATAGGTGATGACGGTGGTGTTAATTTGGGTGCTGATATGAAACCTCCGAAATCTTTGTACATAGAGGTGAGATGTTTGCTGGATTATGGGAAACATCAGCTGGGCGATGGAACGGTGATTCTGCTGAAGAAAAACACTAGGTATTATCTGCCGAGGACGGATTGCGAAGAGCTGATACGTTTGGAGATCTTCGAGCATTTGATCAATTGAAAGCTAGTCGCGAAAACGAAACGCTGCATGTGTATATTTTTGTTATAATTTTTTTTTGATTTATGCAACAACAGAGAATCGTGTTAATGTAACATTTGAAGTATTTAATAAGAAATTAGGCAATAAACAATTATTTTATGAAATAACTCGAAAATTAACAAATTTATTACATATTTTATTATTATATAAGAAACAGTCCAACATTGCGCATCTTTTGGTATAATAATCGTAGCATTTTTCTATTGCAATTTTTCGATTCGTTTGTATGTCTTCACGTTTTATTGAATTACTCGAAAACTACGGATCTCAATTAGATAATTCAATATAGCAATTAAAGAGAAAACTATGATGTTTCCAATGAATAAATTACCAAATTGCTAAAATCATTTGTTTCCTTGTTATAAGCTATCTAATTTGAGAAATTAAACAAGACTCGAACGAAAAGTGTCTTCACCTTTTATTTAATTACTCGGTAACCGCACACGTGAATTAAATAATTCAACGCGTAAATTGAAGATAAAACTACGATGTTTCGAACGAGCCCACTGACAAATCTATGAGGCAAACCTGTATTAAATTAAGAGTAATTAAAATTTGATTTAACATGTGCACATTTGGTTGCATACGTTGTAAACCGAAATATTAATTAATTATTAAAAGTTCGCTTAGTAACAACATTTTTTTTCATATATTATCATTATATAAACATTGTTATCTTTTATTGATATAACTTCTGTTACATAACGTTTATTATTGATTCAAATTTGAGGCAAACCTGTATTAACTTATGAGTAATTAAAATTTCATTTAACATATGCATATTTGGTTGCATACGTTTGTAAATAGAAATATTAATTAATTATTGAAAGTTTGCTTAGAAATAATTTTTTTTTCATATTTTATCATTAAACAAAAATGTTGTCTTTTATTGATATAATTTCTATTACATAATGTTCATTATTGATTCAAATATTGCAATTTTTTATACATTTCTATGTCTTCACATTTTATTCAATTACTCCACGACCACTTAAACTAATTTGATCATTCAATACGCAAATTGAAGCTGAAACTGCCACATTTCTAAAGAACCTACTGAAAAATCTGTGTGATAAATCTTTCTTCTGGTATAAGTTTTTAAAATTTGCAGAATTTAAGTGTTTCATTGCATGCATATTTGGTTGCATACACTTGTACATTCAAATTATTAATTAATTATTGGAATTCTGCTATGTAATACAACTTTTAATATTTCATCATTATGTAAATTGGTTATTTTCAATGATATAAGTTTCGTTACATACTGATTGAAATATTGCAATTTTTCGACAAATTTGTATATCTTCACATTTTATTCGATTACTCGACGACCACTTAAACTAATTAGATCATTCAATACGCAAATTAAACACAAATCTATGACGTTTCCATTGAGCATACAGCTAGATTTGTGGCTTACGCCGTTCGTTTATTATAAGCTATCAAAATCGAACAATAAAATACGAATTGAAAAAAAAAAGTATGTACACTTTTTATTTAATTACTCGACAAACGCGTAAAGTAATTAGATGATTCAAATTACGAATTAAAGATAGAAGTATTGCCTTTCTAACAAGCCAACTACCGAATCTATGATGTACGGCATTCTTCTGTTATAAGCTTCAAAAATTTCATATTCGATGATTGAAATTTTGCAATTTTACGATTAATTTGCATGTCTTCACATTTTATTCAATTACTCCAAGACCACTTAAACTAATTTGATTATTCAATACGCAAATTAAACAAAAAACTATGACGTTTCCATTGAGCGTAGAACTAGATTTGTGGCTTACGCCGTTCGTTTATAATAAGCTATCAAAATCGAACAATATAATACGAATTGAAAGAAAAAAAAGTGTGTACACTTTTTATTTAATTACTCAACAACCGCGTAAAGTAATTAGATGATTCAAATTGCAAATTAAAGATAAAAGTATTGCCTTTCTAACAAGCCAACTACCGAATCTGTGGTATGCGGCATTCTTCTTCTATAAGCTTCAAAAATTTGAATATTCGATGATTGACATTTTGCAATTTTTCGATGAATTTACATGTCTTCACATTTTATTCAATTACTCCACGACCACTTAAACTAATTTGATTATTCAATACGCAAATTAAACACAAAACTATGACGTTTCCATTGAGCGTACAACTAGATTTGTAGCTTACGCGGTTCGTTTATTATAAGCTATCAAAATCGAACAATAAAATACGAATTGAAAAAAAAAGTATGTACACTTTTTATTTAATTACTCGACAACCACGTAAAGCAATTAAATCATTCAAATTGCGAATTAAAGATAAAAGTATTGCCTTTCTAACAAGCCAATTGCCGAATCTGTGGTGTGCAGCATTCTTCTGCTATAAGCTTCAAAAATTTCATATTCGATGATTGAAATTTTGCAATTTTTCGATGAATTTACATGTCTTCACATTTTATTCAATTACTCCACGACCACTTAAACTAATTTGATTATACAATACGCGAATTAAACACAAAACTATGACGTTTCCATTGAGCATACAACTAGATTTGTAGCTTACGCCGTTCGTTTATTATAAGCTATCAAAATCGAACAATAAAATACGATTTGAAAAAAAAAAGTATGTAAACTTTTTATTTAATTACTCGACAACCGCGTAAAGTAATTAGATGATTCAAATTACAAATTAAAGACAAAAGTATTGCCTTTCTAACAAGCCAACAACCGAATCTCTGGTGTTCGGCATTCTTCTACTATAAGCTTCAAAAGTTTCATATTCGACGATTGAACGCGTCGCGGCTATGACGAAATTTTGGCTTTTCCAACCAAAATCCAGAGTGCACGAAAGCGCCTCTTTTATCAATTGTTTGCTTATGCATTGTGACGAAAGAGGCGAAAGAGAGAAAACAAAACCGAGTAATTTCTTCGACGCGGAAAATCCGTTCCGCATTTGGAACAGCATTGACCCAAATCGTAAAAAAACGAAACAAAACATAACAAAACAAAAACAACTGAAAAATGTGTAAACGTAAAGCCCGGACAAAAGAAGGACGTCGTCATGACTTCACTTGTTTCACTTTGTTTTTCCCCACCAGGGATAACGGGATTTCGTGCGTCCGAAACACGTAAACTTATCGAAACTCAATTGATAATAAATGCGATTCTATTTATTTATCAAAAAAAAAAACAACAACAAAACACAAGATTATGTTTCTATCGATATCCGAGGTTATGTAAGAAAATCAATTTTCATTATTCAAAAATAGATTGTCTAATCTATTCAGAGCAAACGTCAATGTTTTGACATGCGTTATGTTGATTCTGGATAAGTGTGAAATCGTGGTCAGCGTTGGAAAGAACAATAGAAAAAGCGGCACGCTTTGATTCAGCAGTTGCAGTTGTCAATTGTTCTGTGATCTTTGAATCTTTTTTTGTTTTATCCCGCAAACTGCGATCCGGTCTATCGCCGTTTCCAGGAAACAACAGAAGTATTGAAGACTAATGTAACCAGATGTGAGGGAAATGCCTGAACCCGAGGCACGTTTCTTCTCTCGCACACACAAAAAAAATAAATAAAAAAATAAATACAAAATCTCTTGCGGTTTCGGACTGTCCACTCCGTCCGTCCCGACCTCCGGGCAAACGTCGGAATACACGTAACAAAACACACTCGAAAACAAATGACAAGAAGAAAAGGTAATCCGGGTTTCACGATTTCATTGAACTCGGGATTGGATAATGATCGTGCAAAGGCTAAAGTCTACTCTTCTTGACCCTACATAATTAAATTGATGCATTTTCAATTAATTTAAATCAATTTCTTAATTACTTTCATCGAATGACAATTTAAATGTCATTTTTCTTGTAGTTGTTATTAAATTTGACGTACGTCAAATCATTTAGGTTAGGTTTGACACCTGTCAACTGTCCGATATTGACAGGTGTCAAATTGTTACAATTGTGACAACTCAATGACGTTTCTGATTGTAAATGTAAAAATGTTAAAAAAACCGTTTTTTTTTTTTTAATTCTGCAAAAACTACAGCTATTACAATCATGCAATTGCACGCATATTAAACCTTATTTATTTAGTTTTCATACGCATATTCATACTTTACCATACATTTGTACTATACAAGATATATCATCAAATGTAAACACTCCATTTTTGCTACAAAATTACTCAAATTTAACAACGTATTTTACTAAAACTACTGCTTGCATACTCATGAAATTACACTCATATTAAACCTTATTTAGTTAGCTTTTACATCCATATTCATACTTTATTCTACAATTTGCAATATTGGAGATATACGAAAAAATATAAACATATGCAATTTATCGTTCTTTGAACTTTGACAGAGCACAGTACAATAACTACAGCCAGCACTATTATGCAATTATATTCATATTAAACCTTATTTATTTAGCTTTCATACGCATATTCATAATTTACTCTACCATTTGTACTTTATAAGATATATCATCAAATGTAAACACTCTATTTTTGCACTCCAAAATTACTCAATTTTAGCAACGTATTTTACTAAAACCACTACTAGCATAATCATGAAATTACACTCATATTAAACTTTATTTACTTAGCTTTCACGTGCATAATCATACTTTATTCTACAGTTTGTAATATTTGAGATATAAGAAAAAATATAAACATTTGCAATTTATCATTCTTTGAATTTTGACAGCGTACAGTACAATAACTAGAGCCAACACTATTATGCAATTATATTCATATTAAAACTTATTTATTTAGCTTTCGTACGCATATTCATACTTTACTCAACCATTTGTACTTTACAAGATATATCATCAAATGTAAACACTCCATTTTTGCACTCCATAATTACTCAACTTTAACAACGTATTTTACTAAAACTACTGCATAATCATGAAATTACACTCATATTAAACCTTATTTAGTTAGCTTTCACGTGCATATTCATACTTTATTCTATAGTTTGTAATATTTGAGATATAAGAAAAAATATAAACATTTGCAATTTATCATTCTTCGAACTTTGACAGCGTACAGTACAATAACTAGAGCCAACACGATTATGCAA